TTGCTGTTATATGCTTCTTGTGAAAGAGATTTCGCTTTTTACCATGGTATGATATAAGACTGCTGTGTTAGCACCTCATACTCTTAGTTTTTATGTACATGATAAAGGTGCAAGAACTAGAACATGTTTGAAGCATTTATATCAATTTCTATTTTAACTAAATGAAATCAAATACTCTGCTGTTTGATAACACATATATTTCAACACAATATATCTTTTAAATTCTGAAATGATACAAATAGAGCACATTTTATGTGTAATAGAACTGGGGGCAAAGACAAAATCAATTTCACTGTATATACAGTACCTATCATTCATTCCCATCTCCATCAATGTATGGCGCTTTATTAAAAATAAGTTTTTTATTGTGAAAATAATGTACAGGGGGTTACAATCACATGAGCAAGGTAATGAGTACATTTCTTATCAAGTACTGTTGCCTCCTTTGTTTTTCCCCTAGTTGTGGAGATGGGAGGGAAGGTATATATGGCACTTTTAAAATTCTTGATAACTACCCAGGTCCACTGAAACACGGTATCTCACAAATCTCTAGAAATCTGTATTTTTAAAATCTCCTCCAGATAATTCTGAGGCCTTTGATCATCAAACTGGTTAAAAATTATATATACAAAAATTATATATATATATATGTAAGTATACATACATACATACAGACATAGTTGGGCGAAGTGTCATTATGTACAGTTGGCTTTAAACAACCAAGAATGGGAAATATTTGGGAAAAATGTGCCTGTACTGAACATGTACAGACTTTTTCTTGGCATTATTCTCTAAATGATACAGTATAACAACAAAACACATACAGTTTATATTTTATTAGGTATTCTAGAAATGATTTAAGGTATATGGGAAATGCCTGTTACTCGTGTGGCTCATTCCTGTAATCCTAGCTACTTGGGAAGGTGAGATCTGAGGATTAAGGTTTGAAGCCAGCCCTGACAGACAAATCCAAGAGACTACTATTAACCAGTAAAATAGCCAAGTGGAGATGTGGCTCAAAGGGTAGAGAGTCAGCCTTGAATGAAAAAAAAACAAACGAACAACAAAAAAACGAATCAACAATATGAGGTCCCAAGTTCAAGCCCCAATATAAGTACAAAAATAAAAGGATATGGAATGATATACATATATTATGTGCAAATACTATGTCACTCATCATAAGAGACTTGAGTATCAACAGATTTTTTGTTTGTGACAGTGGTTCTAACAAAGTATTCTCTCACAGATACTAAGGGAAGACTATATACAAGATACCCAAAGACAGCAATTAAGTTTATAAATTTGTAAAGGATCAGAACCTATTTGCTTGCATATTGCAGGCATTCAAGATATATGTGTGTGAAAACAATTTTTACTTAAAATGCTATTGGTCACCAGAGGACCAAATTAGTTTGTCCAGGAGATAAAACCCTGGTTAGTTATCATATGCATTTAGAAAATGGAGAACCATCTTGCTCAGCAGCCTGAAAAACAACATTGGATTAGTGGATCAATTTCTAATGTAGTTGCATTTGGTTATGACTCTGAATTCTAACTCTATGCTCTTGTATAAAGAAGGATGTTCACTCTTATGAGAATGGTCTAGTCTGTAAATTATCTCTATCTTGTTTCCTTTTCCATTAAATATTTTACTTGATAGAATAACTAAACACAAATTATAATAGCAGCTAACATTTATACAATTTAAAATTACAATATAACCTATAAACTTGACTATAAAATATAACTATAAACTTGTCTATTTTCTTTATAAAATGTTCTCATTTGCCTCTTGAGCGAACAGTTTGTTAGCAGCTACCTAATGTGTAAGAGTGTAACATTTAATACAAAAAAAATCGTTTCTTTTCTATTGTCAGTAAAGAAATTTTCAAAAGTGCAAAACCTGCTACTCTCTTTTTAAAAAGCAATCTTCACAAAAATGTTAAGTGAACATACATTTATTTTTATTTTATTTTTTATTTTGTCAGTCATGGGGCTTGAACTCTGGGTCTGGGCGCTGTCCCTGTGCTTTTCAGCTCAAGGCGAGCACTCTACCACTTGAGC